CTGCTTAAATCCATAAACGCCGGAAGCCCTAAACCCTTACTTAAACCCCTAAAGCCCTATACATGAGCCCTAGAAAGTCTGTGGCCAGGCAAAGGCAACCAAAGGTTGTACTCGCGAAGTCCGGAAGTTCTGGAAATCCTAGACCCTCACGTCTTCATTCGAGCAACAGTCCTAGGTAGCATTAGGGAGACCCCTTAAAGGGGGACCTCTCTTAACCCTACTGCTGGCTCTCTTAAACCCATACCCCAAACCCTAAACCCTTTGCCCATTGCACTTAAAAAAAAAAAACTAAACCCTAGACCCTAGAGACCTTATTATATTGACACCCCTAGTCCAAACTCACCAGTATTGGCGCCGAAAGACTGGTTCTTACGCGTTTAGGGTTTAGGGTTTGTTAAGGGTTTATCCGCTCTGTTGTAGGGGCATATAGGATGTTATAGGGTTTGATTGATGTCGCGACCTTACTGCCTAGAATAGGTTTTGGAGGTATTTTATATTTAGTATAGGGACTACAACAAGGGGATTACGATGCTCTTTGTTCAGATCCCGAGGTCTCCCTTCCGGGGGTTTATAGGATTATCGGGTTTTCGGGTTTAGGGTAAGCTGCAGGTCACTGGGAGCTGGCAGCATGGACTGGACGTCGCCGAGATGTATTTGGCAGAGGCCAGCGGAAGAGACCCCGATTACAGGAACGGATAGCTTTCGAACGAATTACGTTTTTGAGTTTTTCGCTCAGTATGGCCACTAGCATTGAAACATGCAGCCCAAGTTGAGAGAAGTACCTAGATGAAGACCATTGTCAATATGGTGACTGTTTTCTGTCTGTTATTATGGTTGCAACCATGCGTCAGCACTGCCACTGACACCATTGAACATGACAGCATCATCAAGGAAAGGAGAAGTTGAAAAAAACAGAAGGAGCAACAGAGCAGGATGAGGTGGATAATGCAGAGAAGTGCCAGCAGCCTTTGCGGCAGTGGCAGTTGCACTACCGCCCGTGGTCGCGGTGCGTTTGTTATTCTGTTCCAGTGTGCGGTGTTGGCTCGGCTGACGAGCCGCATCGCTGTGGGCGCGACCTACTTTGGGATGTAGAGGGAGTACCAAACCCTGAATCCGAAACTAACGCCTAATTACAGCAGTGACAGCATAAACCGGACGTGGTGCTGGTCATTGTAACGTTGTTTGGTAGTACCAGTATAGTTGTGTGGCTCGGGTTGTGGTTGTTAATGCTATTTTAGTCAGCAGCAGCATCAGCAGCAGAACTGGTACGAGTGATGTTGTTTGAGTACGCAGTATGTATGCTTAGATAAGATTCGCAACCATGTTCGTAAATCTGGCTTTAACATTAGACACCGCTTCTCAGTTAGCACTTTTGTCTTGCGGCAAATGCTCCCTTATACTCTTTATACTTCTTCGGTTTTCGTCTGCGGCTGTTCTTTATGTTTACCCTGCTGCACGCAGGCAAGCTCTCGTGGTTGGAGGCCGTGCCGCGAGATGCGTTTGGGCTGGGGAGCTAGTGAGTAGCGCCTGCAGATCATGCTCCGTACACACGTTGATGGGACGCCCTCAACTATTTAACATTTCAAAAAACCCTACAACCCCAAACCTTGAACAAGCAGGGTACAGGGCAGGTCTTTTTGTTGGTAGGTCCTTTTTGTTGTTAGGTTTTTTTTGCCCTAAACCCTAAACTCTAAACCCTAGCTAGGGCTTGTTTTTTGGTAGGCCTCTTTTTAGAATCTCCGGGCCAGGCGAGATCCGAGCTGCAGCACGAATGCCATGATGGCCTGCCGCGGCCCAAGGGACCAGGAAGGGGGCCCAATACCCCTTAATGAAGGAATATACCTTAAATTATAATATTAACCCCTAAACCCTACAAACCCCAAACCCTCAAACCCTAAACCCTAAACCCTGAACCCTGAACCCTGAACCCTGAACCCTGAACCCTGAACCCTATAGATTCAGGTATATCCCTTATTTAAGGGGTATTGGGCTCTCTGGGTCCTCCAAGACAGAAACCCCTCGACTCTAAGAGCTCAAAGACGGCCAGCCTGAAGCCCCCCTTAGGACTTGGGGTTTAGGATTTGGGGTTTAGGATTTAGGGTTTAGGGTTTAGGCTTTAGGATTTAGGGTTTAGGATTTATTGTTTTAGGGTTTAGAGGTTTAGGGTTTAGGGTTAAGGGTTTAGGGTTTAGGGTTTAGAAAACGCCTGCAAGATCCGTTTGCAGCTAGTCCGGGACCTTAAGACCCCAAAGCCTAAACCCTCGACCCTAAGCCCTAAACCCCAAACCCCGACCCCTGAACCCTAGACCCTAAACGCTAAACCCCAAACCCTGAATCCCAGACCCTAAACCGTAAACCCTAAGACCCCAGACCCTAGACCCTAGACCCTAGACCCTAGACCCCTAAACCCTAAACCCTAAACCCCTAAACCCAAAACCCTAAACCGCCTCTTAGTGTCTGCCCCACTTGGCTTGGCTGTGCGACAGTTCATAATTTGAAT